CTAGGTGAACCAGATATTCCTCCATGGATTGGGATTAGACCACAATGTCGTCAATATAACACTCTAAATACCCACCAATAAGGTCATGAAAGATAGTGTTCATAGCCCTTTGATACGTGGCCCTGGCATTCTTTAGGCCAAATGGCATTTTAACCCATTCGAAGGTCCCGATATTCCCAGGGCATCTGAATGCTGTCTTGTGAACATCCTCCTCCGCAATGCAGATTTGGTTATAACCAGAGTGCCCATCCATCATTGATAAAATTTGATGTCCTGCAGAGCTATCCACCAGCAAATCTACTGTAGGCATAGGATATTCATCTTTTGGAGTTGCCAGATTTAGGTTTCTAAAATCGATGCATACCCTCATTTTGCCATTCTTCTTGACTACAGGTACAATATTAGATAGCCACTCAACATACCTGGCCGTCCTGATAAAGCCTGCCTTGAGTAGTCTAAGAATTTCTTCCTTAACTTTCTGGATCACTTCCGAACCCATTCTTCTTGGTTTTTGTTTGTATGGCTTGAAGTTAGGCTTCACGGGAAGCCTATGTTCCACTAATGACCTATCCAATCCTGGTAGTTCATTGTATGACCATGCAAAGCAATCTTTATATCTTTTCAGAATAACCAACAACTGGTCCCTATCAAGAGAATTCAACCAAGCACTTATATAAATGGGTTGTTGTACAGAATCTTCCCCTAAATTTATTTCTTCTAAGGGGTCTTGTATCTGAGTACTTACTGGAACTCCTTCTTTGATCCTTTCTGACTTCGAAGAAGTCTCCTTGCTGTGTTCTGCTTTCAGGCTCTTTGATTCCTTCTCTTTATTCTCCTCCTCATAGACAAAGTCTGTCCACAAGGTTTCTTCTTCCTGTATTTCTTGGACTTTCGTTTCTATGTCCAATGCACAGTATTTATCAAGGGTTAAAACTCTGGCTTGTTACTGTTCCCGCTTGTAGCCAATTGTCATGATTTCTTTCTCTTGCTCTCGTGCTTTCTGGACTATTGACTTTATATCCAATATTGAAAACTTAATTAAAGCCAAAGACCTGGCTTCTGGTGCTTCATCTTGCCGCCTATAACCAGGCATCGTTGTCATTTTTAACAACTAGCTCTTCATCAGCACTCTCCTGGACTAAACGCTTCAGGTGTGCTACTTCCTCATCAGCCGATACTTCGGCTGAGCCATCGAATTCCATCAGTATACTGAGCGGTGCCACGCCATCAATATACAACTTGGCTTCTGCGAAATCTGCACAGGCTATGAAAGGTTGAGGATCTGCATTAATTTCCTCCGTCTCCCCATTGCCTAGAGCTATTATCATTTTTTGATGCAAAGAGGAAGGCACACATTTATTAGTGTGGATCCAATCTCTACCAAGTAAAGCATTGTACTTCGCATTGCTGTTGATGACGAAAAACGCCGTCATGCAGTCCTTGGTTCCCACACTCAGGTTGATGGGTAGAATTCCCTGGGCCATCTACTTGTCTCCAGCAAAACCAGCGATGGTTGTACTGGTTGGGATCAACCTGGGATTCTTCTTTCCTAATTTTTTCAAGGAGGATTTCGGTAGTAAGTTCACCGCTGTCCCATTATCCACCAAGACTCGGTTTAACTGTATCCCATCGAAGAAAGCCTTAATGTACAAAGTCTTAACATGCTGCGTCATGGAATTCGAGGGATATTCAAATGGATACGAGAGGTTAATACTTACCACTTCTTCGCTCTCATATTCAGCTTCCATTGGGGTAACCATTCCGAAATTATCTTGTACCATACTCGCTTGTGAATCTTCACTAGAGATTGGAATTGGATCAGCTTCTTGCCCCTCTTGACTCTCATCCCCAGCTTGGAATTCCTGTGGTAGTATGTGTACCATGTTCACTGATACTGGAGGAAACGAGCCAAACTAGATGGCTGGCTGTACCTGTTTCCCCTCTTGGTCACCTTGGTCAATTACCTCAGAAACATCCTGCATGCTGCATTCTGGTATTTCATTGCTAACAGGTTCCTTCGAATGATTTTTCTCGGTTGGTTTTCCAACCAGAAATGTTTGCTCGGCCATGAAAGCTTCGAACATTTCTTTTTCCACCATTTCTTTCTTTTGGCTCATGCCAATTTCTTCTTCCGTTTCGCTACCACTCTCCATCAGAGTTTTCTCCAACCCTGCTAGGCTATCCTTCTCTCTGACTTTTAGTTCAGAATGAACCTTGGCCAACTGTTCTCTGCTGCAATCCACCTCATTTTGTAGAACTGGCTTTGGTTTATGGTCTGACTTTCGATTCTTCTTTTCTCCAATCTGGATCAATGAAGAACTCTCTCCACTTTCTTTCAGGTCTTTCTGGTATTGGGTGTATCTACACTGAATTTTCCTCCTTTGTGATCCGGAAATAACGAGGACCATATCTGGTTCCCTCGTTCTTGGGTGTTTTAGCAATATCCAGTTGTTGGAGGCCTCCAAAGGAGGCTTAACCATCCTACTTTGATTTCCAACATTCCTTTGGGTAAGCATTTCCCTAGGTTTGTTTTGCATCACAAACCAATCTGGGACCCCAGGTACCCACGAACTTACTGACCCAGACGTTGAACTGCCTTTTTCTTCCTTCAAGGTCACCTTCGAGGCTGGCTGTGAAGACAATTGTTTGGTCCTGTCTCCAAGCTTTGAGCTTGATTCAGGCTCTCGATGATGGTGATCATTTTCTGTCCTTCGTGAAGCTGGCCCAGGGAGCCAATTCCTGGCTTTGACCCTAAAACCTGAACTCTTCTCCAATCTTCTTTCAGAATGACTACTCTCCATTCTGTAATAGTTAGGTGACCTGGTCTCATATAAGGGCCTATTGCCTTTAGCATGCATTCTATCAACTGCAGGCTCAACCACTAATGGCTGCCGCCTAACATTAGCCGGATACGGCCTTTTATTATAAGCATTGGTTGGCTTGGGACGCCTCTGCACATCCCTGTAATTCTGTTTCCCATCAACTGGAAGGCCTTTCAACTACTTATAACTCAGTCTGCACCTGGGACACATCCTTTGCATTACGGCTGCCTCTAAGGAGTCATCATCCAGTGCTTCTTCATCAGAGTCTTCCCTCTGATGTGAGAAATCTCGTCCAATAGCTGGTGGATTTCTAATGTCTTTTTTGGTTGCTTTCTGGTTGGCCACATGCATCTGTACATTGACTTCTTCCAATTCTTTCAAAGAGAGGTTTTGAAAGTCTGACATAATGACATTGGCTGCCACCTCTCCAATTTCTGGAAATGGATTGCTATCGATCCCCATGGCTTTTTCAGCTTTGGCTGGGAACTTCAAACTCCCTTTCCGAATTTGTTCTTGGATCCTGTCTCGAAAAACAACACAGTTTTTAGTCGAGTGAGACCAAGAATTATGCCATTTACAATATACTTTTCCTTTAAGTTCATCAAGAGATGGAATTTTAACCCCTTTTGGTAACTTAAAGAAGTTAGCCGTAAGCAAATGATCAAAAATGTCATCTGCCTTAGTTAAATCAAAAGAATATTTCCTGTGGAGATCTTTCTTTTTGAACTGCTGGTCAATTGTCGTATCTTTATGTATTAATGCTTCACAGATCATAGGCTCTTTCCCCACAATCTCTGCTGCATCAATCTCATAATTAGGATCTTTGTAGTATGTCCTATATGATGCATTATTTCGATCTTGTTCCTCTTCTAGTAATGCTTCATATCTAGATACTTTGTAAGTCAGTTCCACTAAATCTCTAAACTCTGTTGAATCAAACTTCTTTCGAAGCCTGAACTCTAGGCCATTTTGGCCAATCTTACAAATTCAGTTTCTGGCAAGATTACTCTACATTTATTTCGAGCCCTCTTAAATATGGAAATAAACTGAGTAGCCTTCTCTTCAGGCCTTTGACTCAATCTGGCCAAGTCTGCCATGGAAACTTCTGGCTCAGATTGGAAGAATTGGGCATGAAATGCCTCTTCCATTTGCTGCCAAGTCTGGATGGAGCCAGGTGGAAGATTAACATACCATACAAACGCCCCCCCAGTTAAAGAATTCGGGAATAGTCTCAATTTCATATAGTCATGATTGGTGAATTCACCACATTGAGCGGCAAACCTATTATTTTTATTTAATGTATTTTATGTAAAAAAATAAAGTATTTACTAAAAAAAAATATGAGAGCACTTTTGGCGACTAAATCTGAATTTTAGTCGCCAATTCTATGCTTTTTGGCTACTAAATGCTGCGTTGTCGCTAAAAACATTAATTTCCGCCCCAAAAAACTACTTCCGGCGACTAAACTTACTTTTCGTCGCCAAAACCTGCACTTTTGCCGACTAAACTCAGTTTTAGTCGCCATTTGTCCACTTTTAGCTACTAAATTTTTTTTAGTAGCCAAAAACCTTTACTTTTGGCTACAAAAAATTTGTTTGTCGGTAAAACACCTATATTCGGCGACTAAAGTATTTTTTAGTCGCCAAAACCTATAGTTTTGGCTACTAAATGCTTTTAGTCGCCAAAAACCGTGCCTTTTAGCTACTAAAATTTTTGTAGTCTCTAAAACCCCTATATTTGGCGACTAAACTGACTTTTAGTCGCTAAAACCCCTATATTCAGCGACTAAACTCCTTTAGTCGGCAAAAGTCATCAATTTTGGCGACTAAATCCATTTTAGTCGCCATTTGTGCAACTTTCAGCGACGAAAATCATTTTTTTAGTCGCCATTGGTGCTTTTTGTTGTAGTGGATTATGTCAAACCAAATGGTTAAGGATAACAAATGTTCTCAGTGCAATATTAGTGTTCTATAATATAAATATCTTTCTTTTCACCATGTGAAGGTCCAGGAGATAAAAATTAGACATGAATTCAAAAGAGATGCCATTATTTGATTCAACCTAACAGAAATCTATCCAATAAACCATGCTTCTTCATTGACCACGCTTAAATGAACATTATTTTAAAAGCAACCCTAGCAATTTAAGTACAGTGCATGGTGACTCTTTAACAGTACAATCCAAAGTCAACACACTAACATGGAACGGTGCTTACCTGGGCCATCATTAATGCCACATAGACACCAGTTGTGAAGGAACATAAACGGGTCACCCACTGGACGTGCTGCTCGAACCCATTCACCTACTTTCCACATCCTCGTTTGATCAATTTTACCCATTGGGAAAGCTGGCAACCCATCCTTTTCCTGTAAGATTTGAGGGAGGTGGGGAAGCAAAAGACATTCAGCAACAAAAGCAAGAAAATATCTCATATCACTAATAATTTTTAGCATCATCAAAGAGAACACAAGTTCACAAGCCTGTATATAACATAACATGCATAGTACCATATTTTGACACATGCAAAAAATAGAAAACATACATAAAAGCGACGCCCAGCCAAGACAACACTCCAGATCTTGCTACAGCTGGCTGCATCCTCATAGCACTCATATAATATATCCATGGAGGGATAGTAAGAGGCACTATATGCAGCCTCAAACTCCTTTTTGCCATCTTCTGACAATGAATTATACGCCGCCAACATACCCTGTTCAAAGGGAATAAAACAAGCAACATACGGCTAGGTAAACATACTTGTTTTGAAAAGATAAAAGGGGTTTCAAAACTGGTAAAAAATCGAGGCACAAAAATTCTTATAAGTGATGGAAATCCAAGATTTTGATCACTAACCTGAGTTGATATGGTCTTCGAAATATTCCCTGTCATGCACTCAACAGTATTCTTGTAAGCCAAATCTTCACTCATTCCATTTTTAATATACCTTCCGAACAAGGTCTCAACAATTCCATGCATAGCACCGAGTAAAATGCCTATGAATCAAAACAAACAGATCTTGGATATAGCTTTGTGGTAAATTACAAAATAAGATTGAAGAAAACCACAAGCACCTCGCTCGCTGAATATGTCTGTTGGCTTTTTGGCTTTCGAAGGTTATTTTTGTAATTATGAGCGTGCCAGCAAGGATCAATCAGTCCTTACAGAATTGTAATTGCCAACCAATTATTCAAACGATTGTGTTATGGTTCTTTTAGCCTCAATAAAGAGGACTTTTACTGGTGGCTTACTGGTAGCTTGACTTCAGAGAACTTGAGCATAAGAATAGTTAAATAAACTGAAGCATTTCATTAATATGAAAAACTTACAATGATCTCGGCTTCGTAGAGATTTACAGCGGCAATATACTCGAAAACTACTCCTACAAATGAAGTGCTGTGCAGGAACTTAAAGTACAGAAATGTAAAGAACAGGAAATAAAACTGGAATATGTAAAGTAAGACTGGTTTTCTTTAGATTTCTTTCCATCCCTTTCTCTGAAGTCCTTCCTACTATTTATACTTTCCAAAGATAACCATCGAACTGCACTTCAAACCGTCGAACTGCTCCTCCGTGATCGCTGATCATGCTACCTTATAAGTAGGTCCACTACGCCTTCACTGGTAGTTAGGCTTCCCTCCTATATTTGAATTTGAATGTCAGCAACCGTTGAAGCCACGTCACGTTACATCTCTTTGTTGATCCGCTGCTACTCAGATCTTATAACAACCAATATTAACTGCCACGTGTATGATCAGGATCGAAGATCTGACTAGTCTCCCCATGTTACCCTTACTTTGCCACGCGTCGAATTATCACTGGCTAGCACAAAATATGTAGTCAACAATGTCACTCTTGTATTCCTGTTCCAGTGCGGTGGCAAATGTAAAAGGAGAACCAAGGGCAACTGACCATCCAAGGACAACATCAATGGCCCTGCCATCAACATCCTGTCCACAAAGATGTTGAGTAGCTAAAGTCAAATGAAACATACAGAGGCAATAAGAAAACAGAGGGTTAATAAACCTGGTGTACGCCAAAACTAGAATTTATTCCAGCACCATTTATCTCTATTCCTTGAACATAGTCTCCTCCCAGACAAACCCATTCCCTTGGGACATACAGCTATCACACTCTTGTTCTTGGGGAAATCAAGACCCATTGACTGCAAATGGCCAAGAAGAAACCCATGGGACAGCCCAAGTATGCTGTTTGGCTTCATGTGGGAGAATACTTTCTCATGATTATCAGCCTGCAATTAATATTGAAATTAATAACAAGTACAAGAGGACTGAATAGAATAAAGAACATAACAGACACCCACAGCATGTTAAAATGTACAAATCATCTAACCGACACCATTATATTTATCATTACTTACTAGGCCTAAATTGACTACATTCCAACTAAGACACCCACATCATGTTAAAACCAAAAGAAATACAACTCAGTGCAAGTGAAGGCCAAATAGAGGTAAATATAAACAAATCATGCACATTATATTTTAGCATTTTTTTTTTCTAATATTTTATATAATTTTTTTATTTTTTAAATTCACGTAATTTAGATACACTTAAAAATATAATATTTATATAAAAAAAACTTTAAAAAATGTAGGAAATACAAAAAATATAAAAATTCAATACATTTTCGTATTTTTTTGTATTCAATGAATTTTTTAAAATATTTTTATACTTTTAAGTATGTCAATATTAAGTGGATCTAAAAAAATTTTAATAAAAAATTTGATTTAAATATATTTTTTAAAATATAAAAAAATATAAAAATACGAATTAAAAACTAAAAAACCTATTTTTAAAAATTCCAAACCAAACAGAAATTTATTTAAAATTTTAATATATTATTACATTTAGGAGTTAGTGTAATTTTTAACTTTTTATAAAAAAATATACAGAAAAATAAATCCAGTGCGGTGGCAAATGTAAAAGGAGAACCAAGGGCAACTGACCATCCAAGGACAACATCAATGGCCCTGCCATCAACATCCTGTCCAAAAAGATGTTGAGTAGCTAAAGTCAAATGAAACATACAGAGGCAATAAGAAAACAGAGGGTTAATATACCTGGTGTACGCCAAAACTAGAATTTATTCCAGCACCATTTATCTCTATTCCTTGAACATAGTCTCCTCCCAGACAAACCCATTCCCTTGGGACATACAGCTATCACACTCTTGTTCTTGGGGAAATCAAGACCCATTGACTGCAAATGGCCAAGAAGAAACCCATGGGACAGCCCAAGTATGCTGTTTGGCTTCATGTGGGAGAATACTTTCTCATGATTATCAGCCTGAAATTAATATTGAAATTAATAACAAGTACAAGAGGACCGAATAGAATAAGAGAAAATGACTGAGAGCACTAATCAGTGCTACTACTAATGATGTGTTAGTGGGCCTCACCATAAATGATTTGATGTTTTGGCTTGATGTTGTATTTTTTTTCTTTTTTTATTGAGTGTCATGTCATTAGTGATCTTTTTAGAGCTCCAAAATTAGTGGTCTCTATCATTGTTGTAGAATAAGGAACATAACAGACACCCACAGCATGTTAAAATGTACAAATCGTCTAACCGACACCATTATATTTATCATTACTTACTAGGCCTAAATTGACTACATTCCAACTAAGACACCCACATCATGTTAAAACCAAAAGAAATACAACTCAGTGCAAGTGAAGGCCAAATAGAGGTAAATATAAACAAATCATGCACATTATATTTTAGCATTTTTTCTTCTAATATTTTACATAAATTTTTTATTTTTTAAATTCACGTAATTTAGATACACTTAAAAATATAATATTTATATAAAAAAAACTTTAAAAAATGTAGGAAATACAAAAAATATAAAAATTCAATACATTTTCGTATTTTTTTGTATTCAATGAATTTTTTAAAATATTTTTATACTTTTAAGTATGTCAATATTAAGTGGATCTAAAAAAATTTTAATAAAAAATTTGATTTAAATATATTTTTTAAAATATAAAAAAATATAAAAATACGAATTAAAAACTAAAAAACCTATTTTTAAAAATTCCAAACCAAACAGAAATTTATTTAAAATTTTAATATATTATTACATTTAGGAGTTAGTGTAATTTTTAACTTTTTATAAAAAAATATACAGAAAAATAAAAAAGTAATGTGACAAGATTTGTTTTGGGAGGAAGTAGATTAAAAGCTCATTTTTTTTACTTACTTCAAAAAAATATAAAAAAATAGAGAAAAAATGTGATTAAAATTTTTTTTTTAAATTATAAAAAGCTACTTTTAATCATGTTTTCAAAACAAGCCATGCACGTGCATTCTCAAACAACTCTTTAGACTTCATAGTGAGCCAACTTATGGCTTCTGGCTTTCAAAAAGTTATTTTGGACTGTTTGGTTAAACTTATTTCAAACAGCTTCTGATTCTAACAACTTAATTTAAGTCAAAAAAATTGATTCTGAAAAGCTGCTCATCCCTTGCTTCTGATTATCAGCTTCTATTGTGGACATGTTAATTTACGGTTATACTCTTAGATTTTTTTTTATTTTTTATTTTTTTAAAAATAGAAAAAGACCCAAATGGACTATAAAATATTATTATTATTTTTTGTGAGAAATGTAGACAAATAGTGAATAATAAAAAATAAAAGCTAATTGAAAAAGCTACTTCACAGCTTATGTAACAAACACTACTCAGTAACTTAAATCTATAATCCAACAGTTATACCAAATAGATTAACAGTTTTTGATTAAAATCATAATGTATAATCTGTTAAATTATAATATATAATATGTTTTAACAGTTACACCAAATAGGACTTTCTAATCATGTTTTCGAAACAAGTCGTGTATGTGCATTCTAAAACAACTCCTTAGACTTTAGTTGGCCTTGCGAATAAGAATATGAAGTTATAGTAGATGTAATATTACCATGTAATCATATGCTATAGTAGATCAATCTTACCATGTAATCATATGATCATCTAATAATAAGGTGTCACATGTTTCATTTCATTTAAAGGGTAAATTATATTGACATTTCTTAAGATTTTAAATAAAACATAAGAAATTTTATAATTTTGACATAATTATATTAAAATATATTATATTGTGTTTGGAGTAAAGATTTAGATAGAAATTTAGAAATAAAAAAAAATGTGTGAAAAATATATATATTTCATTCACAGTTCACATAATACTTTTCATTAATAATTTCTTAATTATATGAATGAAAAATAATATTATTATTATTTTTTATATATAAAAATATATATTTATATTATTTATCTTTATACTTTTATATCATTTGTATTGATTTCGGTCCAAACTTTTATCTCAATGCCAAGACTCCTTTATTAAACAGGTCCTTGCATATTCCTTTTCTTCTTTTTAAAAAGGTCTCGTATCAAGTATCGGAATAAGGGGAGCTCCAGGAACTTCCTTATGGACCCAGGCAATTTCATACGTGAAGGTTTAAAAACTTTAATAGGCTTCTTTTCAAAAGTGGATTGACTTTTTTTATTTATTTATTATTATTTTAGTTTGGAATTAAAAAATATGTTTAGAATTTTTCTAATTTTTTAACTTTTGTAAAAAAAATAAAATAATTATAATTTAAATGTGATTTTTTATTTATTGATTTTTTAATTAATTCATTATTATTTTGATTAATTTAGAAAAAAAAAACGTTAGGCTCCGTTTGTTTTCAGAGATGGAATGGAGGGGATCTATAGTGAGGAGATTAATAGTGAGAGGATTGTTAGTGAAGAAATTGATAGTGAGAGAATTAAGTAAAATTATGTTTGTTTTGATGATAGTTGTTAGTGTAGGAATTGTTAAATTATTTTTATATAAAATAATAAACAAATAAAAAATACAAAAAATTAAACATTAATATTCAAAAAAAAATTTCCAATATGTAAAAAATAAAAAAAATTCTAATCCCCTCACTATTTTTCTAATACCATCTCCACCTCCTCCATCCCAATCCCGCTTCAAACCTTCATCTTAATCCCTTTCTCCATTCTAATCCCTTTTCCAACTCTACAAACAAACACAACACTAAATAGCTCCACCTCCATCCTAATCTCATTCCATCATTTACACCCCAAAACAAACGGGGCCTTAGAACATGGGGTCAAAGATTAAGAAATAATGCCATTCTAAGTCACAACAAAAGGAAAAATGATAATAAAATAAAAATAAAAGGAAGAATTTGGCCAATTAATGCCAATAATTGTGAAGTAGATATAGGTGGTGTTTGGTAGAACTTATAAGCAGCTTATTTCAACTTTTAACTTAATTTAAGCTAAAAACTTGTGTTTGTCTCAGTTTATTTGACCAACTTATAGCTTAAATGAAGTTAATTTTCAACTTATTTGAAAAGTGAGTCAGGCGATGCTTATCATTTTTAGCTTAAGCGCGCAGCTGTACAATGGATGGTGAAATAATTTAAATGCCCCTCCTAATCTCCATTATTTACAAAAATGCCACTCTATATACCCGTTTGATTGCCCTAACTCTCGCCTCTGACACTCTTCTCTCCTATTCTCCTTTCCTCTGGCGACTGAGAAGAAGCTCGACCAACACCCACGAAAACAGTCGTCGACCTCTCTGATCATAGCAGATCGAGCTTGTAGAATCGTCGTCTATCTCTCCAAAAAGAGTCGTCCCCCCGTTTTTCGGTTTGTCTGCACCGAAAAGGTAAGATTTCATGACTGTGATACATGTATGGACTCGATTAGGGTTTTGTTTTTGGTTATGTGAAATGGTGTCTTCTCTCTCTTCTTCACTTTGTGATTAGGGTTGAAAACCCCCTTTTGACTGCGATCTGTTATTAGTTGAGATGAATTGCAAACCCATGTTAAGGATTCGCTTTTGTTGGCTTCCATGAATGAGCTCGGCCTTTTATTTTTTGGTTGTGGAAGAAGTGAAATATCATTTTTAGGTGATGAAAAATGTTCCTGATTAAATATTGAGATAATTATTTTGTGTGAGTTTTGCTTGTTGAATTTTTTTAATTATCAATCTTTGGAATTTTGAAAAGAAATTAGGGGATTTTCATGTTAAGATGATGAGAGCATTTAGCTTCAAAATTAAATTATGTTTGTTAATTGTTTTCATTTTATTACTTTTCTAATTGTAAATATTCTGTTTGTCCTTTGAAGAGAATTTAGTGAATGAACATGTTGATATTCGCCAATTTGTTTGAATTCTGTTTCCTGGAGTTCGTATAGAATAAACCCACAATTTGGCCATATTGATGGGTATCTTTTTGTAATTCTGGGCACTGTTCACATCCTCAAAGTTTTTTATCTCTTTCCTGATTAAAGGCACCCAAACAAAATGTTTTTCTTTTGTTTTTTACCTTTTTTATTATATTATGCTTCATTGAGGTTGTGTCCCCAAGTCAGTTGCTATTAGTTTGAACATTGAAGATTTATTAGTTTTAACATGGATAGTTCATTGGCCTTCAAAAATACATTCAAGATTTATTTTGTCCATTTGTTTTTGTATGTAAGAACAGAGGGAAGACAATTGATCATTAGTGAGCTATGGTCCTTTTATTTATTTTTTTCCCCTCTTTACACTCCCCTCCAAGAAACCATGATGAATTGGGACCAGCATTTGGGGAAGAGAATGGGTTCGTTGAATTATCAGAGCCTAGTATTAGGTGTTGGGAGGTTGTCAAGGGGTGTATACTTTAATGGAGGAGATGTTTTGGAGTTGCAACCTTGCTGCTTGTGGGTGAATATCTGGAGAGGGGGAGAGAGTTTTTGTCAGTCATCATTTTTATTTCTTAGTCATTTTCCTATTCTTGGAAGGATAATTTCTTGTATGCATGCTTGTTTCCTACTTAGATGCTATGGAAGGATAAAATCCAAGTTTTGGACACTTAAAATTGTTATGGATACTTAGACGAGTTCGGTCTAGCTGAGAGTTTGTCCAATTCAAGCTCAAATTGAAATGTAAAGGGATCTATTCAAGCCCAGTCTGAGCTTGACCTCTAGCCTGAATTTTCTTGGCTGAGCCTGAGCATGAGCTTGTCTCAAAAATAATTTGGGCTTGGCTCAAGCAGTCCAAATACGATGCAAAATTTATTCGAAAATACAAAAGATCCTCTCAAAAAATACATAAACGGAACATACATAATAAGAATTTGTTTTGAGTTATATGTACTAAGTAACAGAACATATTACATTGCAATATAATTGAATCCAACAGTGAAAAAAATCAATATTTTCTATCTATATTTTATGTTTATTATTATTTATAATTTGGGTAGCGCTAATGCCACGAAGTGCAATGCTTGATCAAGTCAGTTGATTCTCCTGCTCTTTTCTTCTCTCCTACCCAACCCTAAAAACAGGGCATTGACCGGTTAGATCTTGACAACTCATATTTAACCAATGCTCAAGCCCGTGGGCATATCACACTGTTGTTCCCCTTCATATAGCTTTCACTATTTCAATTAAATAAATGTACATATTTGTGCCAATGTTTTATAAAGAAAGTTTTTTGAGGCAACAATACTAAGATAGGTATTAGGTAAGCTTTGAAGAACCAACTGAAAATCTTGTCTGGTTGAATTTAATCTTTTAACTTTATTAGTTCGTAAATCTTTTGACTTTATTAGTTAATGTTCCTAAAATTGTCATTATGTTAGAAACATTTACTTCAATCAATACTTCATGGTGCAATGTATTTACAATTAGCTTCCCAATGAGGATTTGGATTCAATTGTTCCTAATTAATGCAGAGGCATGTCATTCTCTAGTAACTATTATTCTAGTGGTGAGAGCTTCGACTTGAGATATGAGGCTTTGAAATGTGATTGTGGGTTAAGAGCTGCCATAAGGGTTACCCAGTCTGACAAGCCATCTAAAGGGAAGAGAAATTGTCAATTTTGGAAGTGGTGTACCCCAAAATCTGTGACGATGGTAGAGAGGCTGAGGAACAAGAGAATGATTGATCAAAATCAACATATGGAGACTGTAGGACTAACAGTGAAGAACCAGATGCTTGAGCAATCCAATGCTTTCATGAAGCAGCTTGTTGTGGGTCTGCTCACGATTTGTATTGTTATGTAAGTTGCATTACTCTTTAAATGATGATAGGTGCGTTTAGAGATACCCAGTGTTTTTGTGCTAAGTAGTTTACCATGAACTATTGTACTAAGCTTTGTACCCAATGAATGTTGACGTAGTTGCCATGTATGGTTATTTTGTACTAATCTAGCTGTTGTAATGCAAGCACTGATGAATGAGTTTGTTTTAATTTTTTTTTTCTTTCATAGAATGAGTACCCAAGAGGAAACACAACCTGAAAATAGGAAAAACAAGGGAAAATCAAGTCAGGTACCATCCGTTAAAGCTCATTGGGATGCAAAATCAAATGAAATTTTTATTAAGCTTTGTGTTGAGCAAGTGAAGGTTGGACATAGACCTGGTACACACTTAGATAGGGTCAGGTGGGAAAATGTGGTAACTAAGTTTAAAAGTATGACTGGAAAAGCATACCAACGAATACAAATGAAAAATCATTGGGATGTGTTGAAAAAAGATTGGCTTCTATGGAATAATTGTTAAGAGGTGAGACAGGCTTAGACCGTGATACATTGATTGGAGCTATATCTATATCTGATGAGTGGTGGAACAAGAAATTGGAGGTACGTTAATTGCTTAACGTACATATTTTGTTTGTTTTATCTCAATTAAATACACCAAATTTTGTTACTTGACATTGTTAAATTTTCCTTTGTAATTGTTGCAGAGGTATCCTGATGCTGCTAGATTCCGATGTATGCCGTTGTAATTCACTGAAGACTTAGACATACTATTCTCAGATACAGCTGCTACAGGAGAATGGGCATACACTCCTAGCTCCGGGGTAATGCCTCACACTGATGAGACTCCGGAGAAATTTCATACCCCACATGATGCTGAATTTCATGATGATGCTGATTTGGAGGTGGTTCATCCTCCGAGTTAAACAAAAAACGATCATCAAACACTGATGGTTCATCAACCAAGAGCAAGAAAAAGAAGAAATCTACTGGGGAAGCTCTACTTAACAAGACACTTGATCGTATAGTCAATGTGGTTGAGTCATCTTCAGCAACTTCAACACAGACCTCATCAAGATATTCTTCAATTGCAGAATGTTTGGCGAAGTTGGAAAGCATCCCTGGTGTGTCCTCGGATGATAAGCTATATGTATGGGCTGCCAGATTGTTCTTACGAGACAAGCGTCGTGAGTGCTTCATGACTTTTCCTACGGATGAAGTTCGGTTGAGGTTTCTAAAGTTGGAAATTGAGATGGAGAAGACCACCACAAGTTATTGCGGCTAATTGTTTTTTAGATGGACTGTTCTGTTGAACTCATTATTTTTTTCCTTTTATTAATATTTTGTTGGACTTTGATTAATATTGACTATGTTGGACTTTTATTATTAATACTTGGGTAGTTGGCATTTTCTTAGTTGAATGGTAGGTGAATGGTTGACTTGAATGTTAGTTGAATGGTTGAATGTTAGTTCAATGGTTGAATGGTTGACTTGAATGTTAGTTGAATGGTTGAATGGTTGATTTCAATTTTGAATATGAATGGTAGGTGAATGGTAAACACTTATATATATGTAGATGTTTTTCAATTGGTGTTATTATGAGAATTTCCATTTGTTGCTGTTGAATGGTAAACACTTTTAGAAGATGTTGAATGTCTATCTGTTATTGTGCTGATTTCTATTTGTTGATGTTGCCATGCTGAATTTGGAGGTCATTCTGGTTTGAATTTCAATTTGTTGCTGCTATATTGTTGTGTTCATTGAAGGTAAAATTTTAGGAAGTTCAATTTGCATGTTGTTGTGTTCTAATTTATACAGACCTCATGTTCTAATTTATGCAGACCTTATAATTTATACAGACCTCATGTTCTAATTTATATATTGTTGTGTTCTACTTTTCTGTTGCTAACAAGTCTTATAGGGGTGAAACAAAAAATTTACAGTTTGAAACAAAACAAGTATGATATATTGCTGTGTTCTAATTTGCAGTTCATTACTGGAAAGAAGAAAAAAAAATGGCCTAAAGATGATAAAAATTTGGTCCACAGGATTCACACTTCAGAAATAGGTGTGAATGGGGCTTTCATTACCAACTCAAAATTAAATATGTATGTTTGTTTTATATTTATATTTGTATATCACCCCTAAAAAAAAAAAATCAAAATCAGAATCAACTATTAACGCTAAAATCAGAAAATAATGTGGCCTTCACGCAAGTGGCAGGGCTTAGGTGTCCCAATTTTTTTTTTAATGTTTTAGATGTGTTATAATATTTTTGTGTTCTCACTAATGTGGCGCTCCTAGTACCATATTTCAAAATTCATACCTGAGTTTTAATTCCAAATATTCAGAGCCGACGTTTGAAAATTAATGTATTTAAAAAATAAATTAATTAATGTATTTAAAAAATTAAATACTAGTAGATTGTGTTCTACTTTTTATTTATTTATTTTTTGAGTTTTTATAAGTCATCAAAAAATTAATGTATTTAAAAAATATATATTTTGGACTAAGAGTAACTAAGCCTCTAAATGTGTAGGTATTTTGGAGATGAGTAATAATGATGACGAATGGAATGATGATCACCATGATGAAGATACTGAAGATGAAGGCAATACATTGCAAATCCAACAACATAATAATATGCTCTTAGCTACGGCAGCAACAGTTGCAGTGACATATGCAATAAATTATTTGATAAAAGAACCATGTAGGACATCTAGTTTAACAGGGGGAAGTGTGTAACAACCCTCACTTTACTCTAGTCATGCTTGCATATATTACATGATCTTGTCTTGATATGTTGCATTTGCAAAACCTTATGACCCCTCAAAAAAAAAAAAAAAATCAAAATCAAAATCAACTATTAACACTAAAATCAGAAAATAATGTGGCCTTCACGCAAGTGGCAGGGCTTAGGTGTCCCTATTTTTTTTTTAATGTTTTAGGTGTTTTATAATATTTTTGTGTTCTCACTAATGTGGCGCTCCTAGTACCATATTTCAAAATTCATACCCGAGTTTTAATTCCAAATATTCAGAGCCGACGTTTGAAAATTAATGTATTTAAAAAATACATTAATTAATGTATTTAAAAAATTAAATACTAGTAGATTGTGTTCTACTTTTTATTTATTTATTTATTGAGTTTTTATAAGTCATCAAAAAATTAATGTATTTAAAAAATATATATTTTGGACTAAGAGTAACTAGGCCTTTAAATGGGTAGGTATTTTGGAGATGAGTAACACTGATGACAAATGGAATGATGATCACCATGATGAAGATACTGAAGATGAAGGCAACACATTGCAAATCCAACAACATAATAATATGCTCTTAGCTATGGCAGCAACAGTTGCAGTGACATATGCGATAAATTATTTGATAAAAGAACCATGTAGGACATCTAGTTTAACAGGGAGAAGTGTGTAACAACCCTCGCTTTACTCTAGTCATACTTGCATATATTACATAATCTTGTCTTGATATGTTGCATTTGCAAAACCTTGATTTGTCTTGCATAAGTGTTACTTGCATGCTTTGTTCCTTGTTTGGCGTGTATGTTTAGCCTAGGTTAGTCTAAGCCGAGGTCACCTTAAGCTTAGAACCATCTTGGAACCACTTTGGTTGACCTCCACCTTCACCAAGGCATGTTGGTTGAGATGTCATCATCTAGGCCGAGGTGTTCATCACCAAGGCCGAGATGTTACCTTTGTGCCTAAGTGATCTTGTTCCTGGATTGGTGGGACCTAGACCGAGGTGTGGCAGATCTAGGCCGAGGTGTGGCACAGCTAGGCCAAGTGTTGTCCTTCCTAGCCAAGATCATTGTTCCCTTACTTGCCGATGCCTTGTCTTTTGCCAAGATCATTACCTGCCAGAGTGCCTATGCCATCTTGCTTGTTGAACACTTTGTCATAGTCTTGTCTTTTCACTCAGTCACTTTTTTTAGAAGAACCAACCAACCGTTGCCATGTGTCCGAACTAAGTGTTAAATTAGCCGGCAGAGAGAGAAATGCATCATTTTGTATCATATCTTGTTCTTGAGGAGAGAGAAGTTCTTAGAGGAGGAATAGATTTCCAAGCTTGATCCTTAGAGTTCAAACCGTTTGATTCGTGTTTTTAGGTTAGAATCTTAATCTACTCTTGTTGTTCTTATTGATCATATAGCCGCATTGCATGATTGAACCTGATTTGCAAGCCATGCATCGATTTAAAGTTGGGTTTAGAAAGAGAAAGTAGTATTCATGTGTTCTTGAAGAAAAAGCCTTGTTTGATCCGAAAGTTTGCATTAAGATTCATGTTTTTGTATTTGTTTTCATAAAATCTTCGAGTATGGATACCCAGGTCCATGTTTTTGAATTCATAGCATGAAATCTCAGATTTTGTAATGATAAATTATGATCTTTGCATCCATGTTCTTCATGTTCATGTTTTTCATGTTTTTCAAGAAAGGGGAACCCAGATTTTCCCGACTTCATTTCCTTGAATGTAGCTATTGGGGCCACACCTCGGCAAGTAGGTGTGGAACCTCGGCCAAGATCTGGTTGGTGCCCAGCATGTTTTTCCCGAGATGAGAAACAGTGTTTTGTTTCGGTTCGACTTAGTTTTGAAGGAATACCGAGATCATTTGCATTCATGTAAAGCTTGTTTGAAAGTGCATTCAATAGACTTTGCCATGTGTTTGTAGGACTTGGACTCTCGCTTGACCCTGACGTTTGAAGAACTATGTGAGTGATATTTTTAATAAAGCTATGTTTATAAAGTTTTGATGAAGCTTTGCTTTGCTTTGTTTCGAAAAGTATTTGTTAAGCATGAATGATTATCCTTATTTTGTGTGCCAAGTATAAGTTTTGTATGCCAAGTATAAGTTTTGTTTTGGATGACATTCTTGGAAGTCCGTACGTGCCAGGGGACTTTAAGCATTTGTGGCACTAGTCCGTAGGTGCTAGGGGACTATAAGCATTTGTAGCACAACCTTTGAAAGTCCGTACGTGCTAGGGGACTATAAGCATTTGTAGCACGAGTCCTTATGTACTAGAGGGCTCTAAGCTTTTGTAGCGCCTTTGTTAATGTCATCCCTTGAAACTTGAAAGCCTTGAAGGACTTTGATTGATGAAGTTTGAAAGACTTGTTGAATGAACTCGTTTTGTCTTTGGTTTTGTGCAAGATATAATGTGTATCGCTTTGATAAAGATCTCGGATATCATTCATGCAAACCCTTTATTTCTTGTACCATTCACTGAGTATCCAAGCTCACCCTCTCTTTATATATATGTAGGTGGTGAGCAGGACGGCGGTGATGCCTAGATGTGCTTTGCAACTTGTTTTGGATTCGCATTTTGTAGTATCTCGAAGATCATGCTTCTTAGCTTGTAATTCATTGTGTTTTGTATACGATGGCTTGAGAAGCCTTTTGGTCAAGATGTATTTTGTATTTCATTTTATTGTATCCAAGTTGTAAGACCTTGATAAGATGTATGTCATTTCATTTGATCTATGCACGGCTCTTATGGACTACTTAGATTTAAATATATTGCTTCCGCACATGTAAGCCCCATATGTCTACTCTGATTGTGTGTGAATCTTTGTAAGTTGGCCTTTGGTAAGCTCGGATTACTGGCCATCACGGCACCATTCTACTAGGTGCGGAATGGGGTCATGACAGATTGGTATTAGAGCACAAGTTTCTTATAGTACGTTACTCATACACTTCGAGTCCTAAAGAGCATAGGATTTCCCTTAGAATTGATGTTAGGATTGCATCATAATGCTTGCTACTTGACAATGTGTGCATCATCTTGGCATGACTATTTGTTATTTGCATGCATATTATTTGATCATTTTGTTTTGAAGTCACATTTTGCATACTCTTAGCATCATGAGAAAGGGTTGACCACTAGTTGGCTGAGATCATCCCAAAGACAGATTGGACAGATTAGAGAGATTCGTCGAAGGTTTGGTCCATGAGTTGAGACAACCTAGGCCGCAAGACACTAGTACTACTTCTACCCAGGCCGAGCAGACAAACGGCCGACATGCAGTTCCACCTCCACCTCCTCCAGCGCCGCAAGTGCCTCCATAGCAAGCTTTACATCGGGACGGCACCATAGCCCTGATCCGAGAGTTTAAGAAAATGAAACCGCCAAGATTCTCTGGGGGTATAGAGCCAATGAAAGTTGAGGCGTGGGTCTTGGAAATGGAGAAACTGTTTGAGATTTTTCCCAGCACCGACGCTCAGAAGTTGTCATTGGCCGCGTTCACATTAGACGACGATGCACGAAGATGGTGGATGATGACCCGAGAAAGCAACCCAGGTCTGACTTGGGCCAGATTTTTGGAGTTGTTTTACAACAAACACTTTTCCCTTAGCGTTCGAGACCGCAAGACTACAGAGTTCCAGACTCTAACACAAGGCAGCAGGACAGTGGCAGAATATGACCGTGCTTTTACCGAGTTGGCGAGATATGCGCCTCAGATGGTCGATGATGAATATAGAAAGGCCAGGAAGTTTGAAAGTGGGCTTCGTGGGCCGATACAAGATCGTGTTAACATGCTCAACATACCGACTTACGCCGGAGTATTGGACAAGGCTATCCTTGCAGAAGTTAACTTGAACCGATATCAAAATTCAGGAGAGAGCCAACGGAAGAGACAGAACTATGACAATCGTTGAGTTCCGTTTAACGCCAAGAAGAAAGCGAATGTGGGCAACTCCAACAACTCGAACCAGGAAGGTAATGCTAAGCCGACGTGTGCAAGTTGTGGGAAACCGCATTCCGGAGTTGAAAGCTATTCGCCGAGTTCCAAGAAGGTAATACTTCACGAAGGTGTTAAAAGCTATTACAATGATGTCTATTGAATGGGTAATGCCTCAACCAAGAAATGGTGTGCATCCATATATTCGAAGCAAGCGCAAATATAATCCTCATTTCATGGTAAAAAAAAAAATTACAAGTGGAACTTGGGTGTTACATATAATAATGTTGGTCGGATATTTCTAATAATTTGTGACTAAAAATAATTTTATGAACTATTTTGTAATAGGATTGTATTGAAGCAATTGACAGAACATACATCAAAGCATATATATCTCTAGATAAGCACCCTCGTTTAATAGGTAGAAAGGGGTATGCAACTCAAAACATAATGGCCACAT